AAACCTTCTCTCCTTGGAAATAAGGACCGTCACTTGGCATAGTCCTTCTTGCAAGATCTGCTCGAAGGTCCTGAGCTTGTCGTGCTTCTTGATGAGCTCTCAAAGCCACACGTTGTAGTTCCAAATTTGTACGATCTTGTGCGGCGGCATTAGCTGACAATTGCTCAGGGCTTGCGGTCTCAAGGTCAAAAAGATCTGGTGGACGTCTTCCAGTTGCTATCTCTATTGGTGAATATCCACTGATAGTCAACTGACAATTTCTTGCCCAAACTACCTTCTTGACCACTTCTCTGACCGTAACACCACGAAAACGTGGGTCATCCAGATCTACCTTCATAACATGCCACATACGTTTGAACAAACGTACAGCTGTCTCTGCTCGGTTCGGCCAAGGAGTTCTTGGCCCACAAGGACATTGTTGTATACCATGGAACCTGTAGTATTCAACAAAAGCATCGGTGAAAAAGGCTTCGTCTCCTACGATGGCCTTTGGAACACAGTTGTTCTCATCAGACCATTGCCTCAATGCTTGGATGGTGGTTTGATCTATGAGGTCTTTCTGTGCCGTAGCCCAGAGAAGATTTGTGGCACCATCAAGAACAAGTAAGATGATATATTTGTTCTTGTGAAGTTCAACCTCACAATGATCAGCAAAAACAACATCACCAAAACATGAAGCTCTAATACCGGAGACTCTGGCTCGTGGCGGAGGTGCCACTGAAGTGTTACAAACACGGCAGTTCCTGACAACTGATTCATACTTCTCTAAAACAGAGTCAGGAAGCTTCAACATAGAAACACGTCTACGAAACTGAGTAGGACTCATATGGTAGTGCTTCACATGAAGCTTATAAAGCTCTACCTTGTCCTCCAGTCTCTGTAACATCTTCCTATATGCCGGTGTCATTGCAACAACTTCACTACCAGGTAATGGGATTGAAATCCGCCTAGGCTCAAGAGCGCCATCACCTGGTTCAAGTGGTTCATGTTTATCACTTGATGGTCCTTCTGATGCTTTAGGAATTTCTACAAGTTCACCCTCTGGCCTCTCAGGTGGTTCTGAGGGAGCATACTCCTCAAGATCATCACCCTTTAAATCATTCTGAGGCTCAGATGGTTTTGACTTGTGTCCTTTCCAAAATGGATCAAAACCCTTGGAAGTATACCGAAACTTTGGCGGCACGGGCTTTTCCGCGGCACTTGATGGTGCACCTTCCTTCTCTGACGAGAAGCCTGGTTCCCTGTCCTTTCTCACCAATGCCACGGTGCTCAATGCCAGCCTTCCTGATCTTTAGATCTGGAATTTTGGCATCTGGCTTGAACTTAAAAATTGTTCTACCACGCCATTCATAGCCAATTTGTAGGTCCTTCCATTTTGCCTTGCGCCAATCATCTAGCTTCTTGATTTCTTCTCCTCCTTTCTTCTTCTTGATGATTGTCAGTCGCAAGTCTTCCAGTAAGTCAGTGTCTACAGGACAGGACTTAGTTGCTGGAAAAAGAATCTTTCTATAATCCTTGTGGTGACGTATCAATTCTCTCTTGTGAACATCTACTTCCCAGTAGTCAACCACAGGATATGCATGTTCAGCTACATCTTCATCACTATTGAGATCAACAGAAATATGACCATATTCATAGTGAGTGAAGTGAGAGTAAAAACTCTTCTCGCGCCGAGTCTGCAAATTCACGTCAGACAGATACCATGCAATATCTTGGAAATCCAAGACAAGATGAGTACTGGCTACAACCTTCAACTCCAAATATTTGATACCAAGAGGCACCGATGTCAGATAAGCATGTTGAGGTGTCAGCCTGAGTTCAAAGCCTAAGTTCCTCATCTGTGGCAAGCTCATAAGCAAAGGGACTTCTCCTTCTTCCACTATGTCGAACTCTGTATGGTGGATCGTCCATGCACGATCATACATGTAAATCACCAGTTTCTGAGAGCAAGTAGCCTTCTGGGAATTGGCAAAGTAAAACTTGCTCTTGGTAGCCTCAAAAGAGTACCATAATCCACAATCTGGGTGATTGTCGACATAGTTGCAAAAATGGTCGACTGCTCGCCTTGATCCCATAGCTCTAGTGCATCCAATGTCCAGGATTGCAATAGTCGGCGGGAAGCGATTCTCAGTCAAAAATGAAATGGCCTGCATCTCCTTCACTTCTTCCTCAGCGCTCATAAGCGCAAAGCCATCAGGAGCCTTTGTGAGCATCTCCTTTGACAAAGAGTACCTCACAGGGGCACTCATGCCATTGAAGATCGTCTCACCATTGTTGACCGCGCAGTCAGCTTCATCTTGACATGAGGTCATCATGCCTGACAGCAAGTTCACCTCACTGTCATGGACTTCAGCTGCTGCTGTCACACAATGTGCAAAGAAACCTTGTTGACCTCCTGATGCTTGTGAAGATCTTGAAGGTGCAGGTAAAGAACGTGGCTGTTGTTGATTTGCATAGTTTGCATCTTGTTTGCCATCTCCTTTATCTTTTCCTTTTCCTTTCTTACCTTTTCTCTTGCCTTTTCCTTTTCCTTTGTGGGAAAACCATGCTTCTTCAAGCTGTTGCCAAAAGTCATTGGCATCATCATATTCTCCTTGAAGATAGTCATTCATATCTTCGGCAAGAATGGCATCATATGCTACTTGGTTTGACTCCCAAGTGTCCTCATAAGGATTCTCTTCAAAGTACTCTTCTGGTTATGTTGTCTGTTGCTCATCAGCAAAATGGCCTTTACCTCGTCTCTTTCCTTTTCCTTTTCCACGAGGTCTGAAGAATCTACGGCCTGATCTTCCTTTTCCTTTTCCTTTTCTTCTTCCTTTTCCTTTGCCTTTTCTGGCTCTTCTTCCTTGGAATCTCCTTTGGAACCATGAGAAGTTTTGATCATCATATACCCAAAAGACATCGTCCAGGGCATCTAAAAATCCTTCTGTTCCATCTTCTTCATCTTCGGCCCAATAGCCAGATGTACCATCGAGTTCTCCTTCGTCTAGTACGAGAAATGATCTTCTACCTCCACACCTGTTGGCTGCATCAAAGGATTGTCTACTGAAGTCTTTGTCGTGCAGAACATCTCGATGAACACTGTTCTCAACTCTGTTGTAGTGTATTGCTGCAGGACCCTGCCACGATGAATCATCAATGAAATCAAAGTGTTTCGCTGGTCCTGAGACAAATCTGCAAGTGACAGCATGCGTAAGGCAATCAGATTTTCTCCTAGAGGAAATTCGTTCTGATGAAAAGTCCTCATATTGCCATTGATGGTCTGCATGATTTCCTGAATCCTTTCTGCCGTTGGTGCTACTCCAGTCAACGCTGCATCTGCCTGCATCTGAGCTAGGACTTGTGGATGTGCTTGAGTGACTGGTTCTAACATGTCCATCCAACTGCTCATAAGCCTTTGGAGTAAAATCTGGAATCTTGTCATCCATTTCATCATGTCAGCTGATCCTCGATTGAAGCGCACGAATTGCATGAACCTATACAGGAATACATTGGTTAATCCTTTCACGAAATATGGTCGTAGTACTCGTTTGAAATATTCTACGCCGGCTCCTGGTGGATCATTTGCCTTCAATGCATCTCTGTCTAAAATACGCTTGTATACAGCTGCTTCTCCTTCTAATCTGTTTCTCACTACTGGTCCTCTCTTCTCATCTTCCAGCTCGGTGATATCACACCAATCGTCTATGGCATCCTCATAGGAAAACCATGAAGTCTTTCCATCATAAGATGGGGGCACCTTTGTAGTGACCTGTGTTGTCATTGCTATTGCTGCTGGTTCTCTTCTCACATACCTATTCACGTAGGCTGCTGGCTCATAAGCCACATCCGCATCAGGCTCTTCCCAGTCGTCAATCCAATCCATAGCCGGTTGCCCACAAGCAATTCTATGCCTAGGAAAGGAGCTCACCTGGGTCTTCCAAGATCACTGCTCCGCTACCACTAAAAAAGTGATTAGGGCATACACGGTAGAGGTGCAGATCGCTAGTGTCTTTTATGCGCAGAGTCTTATCCTCGTGCTCTTTGAGCCTTGAAGCAGTCAAGCATAGACACACTATATCAGCTGTTGGAGTGGAACCCTATATAAATAGGCTCTACTTTCAGGGAGGGAGGTGTGGAGGTATAAGACATTAATCTACCAATCTTTAGTCCGAGCAAGCTCTCAAGCCAATTCCTTTGCTTCGCAAAACAAACTCAAGGTAGTCCTTACCAAGCTACCTTTCGTAATAATCCATCAATTTATCTATCAACGATACATATTCCGCGAAAAAATGAATTGCCCACCATACAACACAATCCCCAAAAAAATTGGCAGCTTAAAATTCGTCCGTATCTCATCGTATTTCAATTATCAACCCTTCCATAACAACCAAAAAAAAAATCTAAAATAAATTCGAATTAGCTTTATTTACCTCTAAAATATTCTTTCCAGCCCAAAATTCACAAATACCCTTCCTAACATCTATTTTTCAAACATTATGTTTTATCCAACCTATTTAACGTTTCTCCAATGTAAGATTCAGAGGTGCCCGTTTTTAATGCCTTTATTCAATCCCCTATTCCCAATATCCCTATCTGTTTTTTAATATTCTTTCGTCTCCTATTCATCCATTCACTTATCCATCCATCCCCATAATCATTCAAAACCTATCTATACACCAATACATCATCAATATCACAAAGACCCAAAAATCGACATTGTTTCACACTCTCCGCCATTGTATGTTCCCATATTATCACAAAATAAACCCAACCTACAATTACAAGTAATTTTCGTAATATATAATTATATATTTCAATTTATAAATCTATGATTTGTTAAGATATACATATATAATAATAATTCTAACAATTCTAAATATAACGACCCTCCAATATTTTAAAAAAATAAATGAATATCAAACGCCCTACTAGAATAAAATAATCACAATGATAAACAAAAATACATTTCAGAAAAGAATTGCAAATATGTTATGTTATAATTAACATATCATGTTTCTTCAATATCCAAACAGTCGGGAACGTGATTTAAGTCGCAAGCTCTCTGATAATAATTGCCGTAAAGTATCCTGACCTGGCACATAGTGGTTTTTGTTCTAGATTGTCAAACACCTGTAGTATATTGTGCGAGTCTGTGCCAAGCTGACACCCCCTTTTTTCTTCTCCTGTGGTCAAGCTCCTCTGCGTGGCATTTGACCAGCTGCATGAACTTCATGCGTTGTGCCAAACTCGCCAAGCTCCCATTTTGGAGGCATTGTTGGCGCATCAACTCGCCAATCAAAACATTCAAATCACCAGGCCTTCCGCAGGAATATTCAATGGAATCCTGAAATCAACAATCAATCTGGAATCTTCAGCCCTAACCTGCTTTCAAAGGTCACATTTTGGCTCAGCTGAGGTCCCCACTTCACAACGGACCCAATCCTTGGCACCATCTGGGGGTTCACCGACCACCAAAATGGATCGTGAGGCTTCTCCAGCCAAGCTTCTCAGTGTTGATTTTCTCCTCGAGCTTGTGCAAAATCTTGGGTGCATCAATGCGTTCAACCTGAGTCATTTGTGTTCCGTGTTTTCAGATGGTTTCAAACCGGCAGTTCAATAGGATCAAAGCCAAAAAGGCACAACTCCCTGCATGCCCAAAGACAGAATTCAGCAGTGACTGCAACTTGTCCTTTACGTGTCGCTCAACATAGCCACACCTCAGGACACAAACAGGAACAGGATTGGAACATGCCAACTCTCCAAAAACGACAAATGGCGCTGCAATTGAGCTGCACAGATGCGATTTCCACGTCGAGGATCTTGATCTTGCATCCATGGGCTGTTATCTTATCAACGTTCCTCATGGGATAGCCACGGCCAGCCTCCTTTTGACTCTACAAGACCCCCAGGTCCCAATGACAAAGCAACACAACTCATGACCAGTGTAGTGCCCCCTCAACTGTCCAACTGTCAAGCCGTCTGAAAGAATAGTGGAATGAAGAGCCAGACAAGAATCCATTCAAGGACAGTGCCAACCACATCTGCATGGAAGTTGAAGGCCAAGTACCAAGTTCCATTCCTTACACAATGTCAAGAAATTTAGCCCAAGGCATAACACAAAGGTTAGCCCAACACAAAGGCTAAAGAGACCATCGCTCTCTCTTACGTTGGAGGCCATCGCTCTTAAGTTACAGGCCATCTCTATTAGGTTGGAAGCCACTTCTATTAGGTTGGCTATCGCTATTAGGTTGGAGGCCATTGCTATTACACTCTGACTCACATGGAAGTGGAAAACCCGTTGTTGGTAGAGGAAAGTAGTCTTCCAAGGGACCATTTTCCACTTCCATGTTAGTGAGTCAGAGGGTAGGTTGGAGGCCATTGCTAGTAGTTACTTAAGCTACTATGTTTTTTCTTTGATACACTAGCTCATTCAAAGCTTCAGGTGCTCCAAGCGGGCATTTGATGCAGTCATATTGATACCAACACCGTTCTTGCCATCGGAGTCCTTCGTTGAAGCCACTGGCTTGGTTGGAGTGTTCTTGTGTGCCCGCGAGGGACAACACTCTGCTGCTAACTCACAACACACATGTGTATCTTCTGCTAAGCAGCTACATTCAGACCCATGGTTTTCCTCAATGTTTGGCATGAGCCATAATGCATCCAGAAAAGCTTCAGGCTGGTTCCAACTGAAGAACAAAAACATACAAACCGTGAATCACATTAGTGTAGACTCTTGATGAATATAGACCCCCTTCAGACTTGGGGGGTTGGAATATAATCAAGTGTCTACATGAAAACACTTCAGGAAACAGTCCAAGACACCGAGCAAGCTGTGTGCAGTGGTGGCCAAAGATCTCTTCTCCAACCCGAACCCGCACATCACCTGGAGCGCAAGAAGCTGTCCAAACGAAAGTATTACATTTGGACATCCATCACAAGTCATTCCATCAGAGCATGTTTTCTGGTTGCCACTCTTCGTCCCTTTGTTGGAGTCTTGGGTGCCGAGAGACCACCAATGTCCAACGTGGCGACCAGCTCTGCGTCAACAAACACAGAGACCGATCTCCTAAGTTGGCACCCCTTGGTGCACACACCATGCCTACTGCACGCAAGAAATTGTTGCATGTCAATATGCGAAGAAGGTTCCAAGATACTTTGACTCGACCGGTCAGGAAGCCTAGAGATCAGGACACCACAAGACAGAAACAAAATGCAAAGTGTGAGGGAAATTTGGGCGGGGCGTGCTTCTAAGAAGTTACTGCTTGTTTGGAAGACCTCGCAGCGAGAAATGCTGGAATTCTGAGACCTGCGCTTGTGTTCCTGACGTCTCCTTTCGCATGGCCATTCAGTGCTTCAACCTCCAGGCGGCATCAGGCACCCGTGCATTGTTGCCCAAAAATCCACCCAATGTGTGCAAACATAACACTTCATTGCTTGACGCCTTGTGGTGGCAGTTATCATCAATGACAGTGTCCGGGAAACGATTTTCAATGATCTTGGCTGGCGCTTGAGTTGCTGTGTCGTTGAAAGAACATCCTTGCTCACACTGCCTGGCTTCGTTAGCAACCAATTCAAGCAAGATGCGATGTCACCAGGGCCCACTGAAATTGCAGCTTGCGCACTGCTGAAGAAGCGTCCTTCAAGCCACAGAAAAAAAGAAGCAGGCGTTCAGGCAATGCGCCACCCACATGCTTGAAAGAATGGAAATAGAAATACTAAGCCCAAGAAAAGCCCCAACAGTTGGGCATGAGTCCGCCTATGCAATACCAACATTGCAAGTTCACCGGCGAGTGCCGTGTCTTTGCCGGACAATGTTGCTTTGAAGCACGTGAGCCTCTTCAACGCACTTTCATCACAACACGGCAACATGTCGGCATAGCACATGTGCCCACATATGTACAGGCATGACGCTTCCGCAGCGCCCTGCCATCCAAGAAGCAGGGAACCTGCTCCGGAATTCACAGTGGAGCTTGCCGGCATGTCAGCACGACAGCATGACCCGACGTCAGCATCTCAGCATCACATTGCGTCAACGTGCCAGAATGACGTCACCATGACAGAAGGGTGGCACCATGCCAACATATGGTCTGCGCGTCTGCATGACAGCATTACATACAAACACACCAACATGACACCATGTCACTCAGCGTGGCAGCACCTCAGCATCTCAGCGTCGCAAAAAAGATGACAGCATGTTTGCAAGTCAGCATGACAGAGTGGCATCATTTTTGAACATCGACATGGCAGCGCGCATCATGCAAGCAAGGTAGCCTGACGGCATGACAGCACGTCAGCAACAAGCCACCATGACAAACGCCAGCAAAACACCATGCCAGCATATCTGAACTTGCCAGAACTTGCTCCGGAACCTCCACCAGAACCTCCTCTCGAATCTCCGCAACCTTTCGGGAACTTGCTCACCTCCTCCGGAACCTGCTCCGGAACTTGCTCGGCCTGCTCTGGAACTTGCACTGACACTTTTGCGTTCTAGAAAACCACAAATTGGGGTATACGGGATAAGTAGCTGTTGTATTCAGCAAGTTCCCAGAACTCAAGCTCTCTCCCACAACGTGCGCAGCCAAAATTCTTAGTTCGGGTAGCAGAAGGCTGGTGGCCAACCTTGGAGGAGTTCGGGCAGTGGCGATGTGAATCAAAATAGAGCAACTCCAGGGCAGCCAAACATGAGGAATACAAGAAACCTCTACGTCAACAAGAAAGATTGTGGCTGTGAATCTAAAGGGTTCGATCTCATGTCTCCCATCAAGCATTCAAGGCCGTTCTTTAAATTAACGAAAAGAGGGCACGCGGAACATCAAACTACTGTACTTGATTCGTCACCAACAACAAACCTGGGGCCTGGCAAGTTTGTGCTTTTGCGGGAACATTGGATTCTCGGCCTTCCTTTTTTGAAGCAACTTGAAAGAAATTGTCAGAGACCCTCACTTCTGGGGGTGGCGGTCCCTCCCTAAAAAGGTGCCTCCAAAACTTTTGCACATGCTTCATCGTGCTTCCCAAGTGGGAGGATGTTAAAGGACGAAAAGCCATCCAAAACAAAAGCATCTTCAACGAAGGTCGGATCATTCAGGGCCAAAGCACCATGGGTGTGAAAACCAACGGATGTGTTTTCTGAGACTTTATGGTTTATGACAAGAATCACCACCGCCCACAAGTCGAAAAACAAGCATTTCTCCCACACCGAGGAACGGATCCTGATCCCCGCTGGAGTTGAGCTGCAAAAACTGGGCCTGGCACGAGAAGAGTGTTCCAAAAACCTCAATGTTAAACAGCATGGAGAATGAACCAACTAGAGAATGTTCACCTAGGGTGTTGGTGGAATCTGATGGGCAAACATTGCTCCGTCCATCAAAGTGAGCCAATGGACCGCGCCGGCTTCGGTGGTTTGCTTTGGCCGAAGGTGAGTGCCAATTGTGCAGGATTTGCCCAGCATAGGTATGAACAGAATAGGAAAAATCGCGGTGCTCATCACCTAGCATGGTGCTCAATGGTGCTGGGTCTTTTGTGCCCAAATAGATAGGACAAGACAGTGCCAAAAGGCCCCAAAGTAGCTATGGACCCTTCGTTCTGAGACTAAGGAGTCATATCTATGTGCCCCCTGACCCCGCGCCTTCGTGACTTCAAGTGAGGTGATGGGAAAGCCAAATGCACCGATGGCACAAAGGCAGAGCACCTAGCTTTCCGAGTCCGGACTCAGTGTTCAACGATCCCTTCCTGATTGATACCAAATAGCTAAGGGCGAAAGGCCCAGCAGACGAAGGATTGAACCAAAACAGGGAATGGATGCTGCCCACAATTGAACTGTTTGTCCTCTGTGGGAACCTTTGTTTTGGAGATAAAACTTGCCGGCCTTCAGCATCTGGGTGCTCGGAGACAAAGCCAAGCTTCGCAGCATACAGGAACAAACCGCCAAGCCCACTGGACTTGAGGCAAGATGGCATGATCGACGAATGCAGGAGTTGCTATTGCACGGACAGTGCTGTGAATGGGGCCAATGTAAAATTGAGGGGCAGGCATCTCCGAGCAACACCAGCCAACTGAAACTCTCCCAATGCCAACTCATCAACCCCCTTTGGCAAATTGAGGTCCAAGCAGCCTGGGTCCCTCAGCCTCATTCGATCCTAGGCTTCACCCGGATAAACCTTTAAAACTTAAACACTTTAAAGCACCGTCCTGCAAAGCCTTGGCTGATTCCGCTGTCCTTGTCTCCTGGTCACTCCCCCAAAGCGCACCACAGTAGGACTGCTGGCACTGAGAACACCGTTGAAGGCGATGACAAATTTCCCTTCCTCTCAGGCCAGCCACTTGCACTGGTTTGTCATGGCCCGAAAAGAGAAACATCAGAAGCCAAACTGACATACAGACTTGGAGGCCATCGCTTCTAGGTTGGAGGCCATCGCTTCCAGGTTGGAGGCCAGCGCTTCTAGGTTGGAGGCGCTTCTAGGTTGGAGGCCATCGCTTCTAGGTTGGAGCTAATCGCTTCTAGGTTGGAGGCAATCGCTTCTAGGTTGGAGGCCATCGCTAATAGAAACAAAGAAAACAGAAAAGGAAGAAATCCAACCACTGAGCCTCCCAAGTATCGTGCTGAAATCTGGAAGTGATGGGGTGGTAGGAGTTGAAGTGAGACCTGGGCGTCTTTTCAGATTTCAGTGCTGGGGATGGTTCTGGACATGCTCCCGCTGTAGAGCAAGCACCGCATGGAAAAAAGGATATGTTGCCCTTTAGTTTCAGTTGGTCTGCACGATATAATCAATCGACACACAATGTTTATCAACATATATATATATTATATTATATATATATATATCATATTAAGTATATATATGTATATTATATATTATAAATCAGGAAATCAGAAGGATGACTGTAGACCATAATATAACATAACATAACATAATATATAACATAACACAATATAATATAATATATGCAATATATATATATATAATCCGGGACGCAGAGATAGAAGAAATGTTTCGAATATTTCAAATAGAAGGTGCAATTTTGGTGGTTTCCAAACAAGGCTTTAGATAGAAGACAATGCCTTGTGCAAGAGGTGCTTTGTTGATGCTTTTTTGATGTTGTTTGGGCACTCTGAACTCCAATATCTTCTATTTGAACGGTCTTGCAAGAGAGGCAGGATTTCATGGTATTTACAGTGAATTCTTGAAGTTTTGGATGATCTTGTCCAACATTTAGCCGGGACAGACGGTGCAAGTTAAACCCCAAAATCAGAGGACCTAGTGCACAACCCAAGATGTCCAGAATCCCAGTACAAAAGGTAAAAAACCCGAGTTTTTTAGCTTTTTCTGAAGGTCAGATCCACAAGACAGCAGAACAACAAGTGAAGGTCAAATAGAAGATATTGCCAAAGCAACCAAGCACATCAAATAGAAGAAATGTATATGTGATTATTTTGGTGTTACAAAATAATCTGGTAATATCTTCTATTTGAAACTGAGCGCCTGCACCAAGCACACCTTCCCATGTTTCTGGATATTCTTGCTGTTTTGTTGTGAATATGTATCTATGTATCTATCTATCAGATCTATTCACCAATGCTGGCATATTTCCCAGAGATGCCATCTGCAGTGAAGAAACAACGGACCGGAGGAAGGAAACAATCTGCGTGGACCAAAAATGAAATCAAATAGAAGATCCAAAACAAGCATTTCAAATAGAAGATGTGCCTCACCGGACAGATTTCAAACAGAAGATATTAGATATTAGGCTATTTAGTGGTTTTTGCAAAAGTAGCTATATAACATGATAAAGCACCTCTTTTATGCTCTGGCGAAGCCCTTTTCTTCTATTTGAATGCTTTTTTCGCGCGCGCCAGAAGCAGTTTCAAATAGAATATGGAAATTCTGAATATTCGGGAATTTCTTCTATCTTTGAGTCTTGGATTATATATATGTCATAGTTTTATAGCGTATAATAGTATTATATGATTCGGTCAATGGATCATGCACCTCCAGGCCCCCCGCTGCGGAGCCACTCGGACCTCATCAGGGTAGACCTGATCGCACCGCGCCGCTCCAGCCGCGAGCCGCGCCGCGCATGGGCGGAACACAGGCCAGGCCGCCCAGCTCCAAGCGACATGAGTGTGGGTCAAACAGGGCGATCCTGGTGGACTACTCCAAATAAACAGATTAGACTACATCCTCAAATCGGCGTGAAGTGTGTGGGAAGAAGCAAGCTTGGAGTTCAGTTGTAACCGAGAAAACCTCTATCTCTGAGGTCAACACACCCCACATATCATCTTTTCCTTTGGCAGCCCAGTCCTCGCACCGGTCTTTCAAAGACCGCAGGAGGATAATGGCCCAAACATACCATGCTCATGCTCCACTCGCAAATCGATCAAGCGTCTCGTTTGAAAGGAGTGGCCTGCACACGTCAATCTTGCAGCCGCTTGGAATGAAACTTTCAAAACTTTGCCTTCAAGCGTCTTCAGTCGGCTCCTGATTCTGCTTCAAACCCCTGCCTGGATAGCTAAACATCTCCAAACCGGATTTGCAAGCTTAGCTGGATCCCTTCCTCCAGATCCTCTAAGGCAAACTTCTTGGCATTGTCCTGCGTGAGGATCCATCAAGAAAGTGGCATGATTGCACACACACACACACACAAAAAAAAAATAACATAATTGCAGACAAGAGATCCGCCAAAAATGCTCTACACTGATCTTCCATAGGGCCATAGGATCATCTTCGAGATCTTCCATTGAGACAGAGTGTGTCGAGCCGAGGGAACATCGTGTCTGCCAGTCCTTCAGGAACTGCCACGTAAAGGCTGCATTCTCCCACCTCAGCCACCACTTCGAGCGGAGCAAGAGGCCAAGGGGCCAAGGACCCAAGAGCAAACTGCCCAGGGGCAAACTGCACATGAAGGGCACTGGAAAGCAACACTGCAAGAAACCGCCAAGGACCACGCCTTCTCTTTTGGGGGGTCTATTTCTTATCGACAAAAGAAAAATGCAGCGCGAATTGCCATATCCACCTAGATCGTTTTTCAACAATTAACGTGGCGGCATTCAGATATGCATTTGGTCCGTACAGATTTTGGCATTACGTGGTATCAGCTCGCTGTGCATTTTTTGTTGTATGCAGGTCGGTCTTTGCCTGTCTGGATCCGGCACAAAGACAAAAGCTTTGCGTGGCCATATGATTTTGATTCTCCCGAAGTTGCCATTCAAAAACCGGAGGTTAAAAGTCTTTGGCACCAGGCCCATAACTTTCGAGCGGTGGTCAAAAATTTGGAAAGCAGCACAGGCCGCCATTTATACCCTCGATATAAGACGACAGGGGCCTCCACCGTGGTTCGGTTAGGATTCCACCGGAGCTTGACCGGGGGCATAGCTTCTAGACCTAATTTGCTGCAGACAGAGCTGGCTATTGCTTTGCTTCGGGAATGCTCCACCCAACCTGGCCAGCTCTATCCTCCTAATGTTCGAGTGCCGTTCGTCCCAAACTTGTCACATTGCCAGACTGCAGTAGATTTGCCTCCGGACCGACCCTTTTTTGACCCGCCATAATCTATACCAAAGAGTTCGCAAATGCATTGGATCCAAGCTTGAGGTTCTTGATCTCGACTTCGACCCCTGAATTTGCCCCGAGGCGGAATTAGGAATTTGCGCATACATTTCTCTGTCCACTAGAGATTGTAGAGATGCATTGCACGCTTTTGATACATACATGTGGTGTACATTCTACCCTCGAGAACCCCCTGAATAGGGAAGGTCTGTGAGGAGCGCCTCAGACTGGAGCGCAAGTTGTGTGAGGGGTGTCTATTTCTTATTTCGATGTATCTTCTTCCTTCCCCCTCATTCGGTGTGGACCTAACAAAGACTCCGGGAGTCCCTTTAAGTGAGGAGCACCCAAGACCATCGCACTGGAACACTATGGATCTCCGCACCACGGATGATCGATCCAGGGCGAAGTGTCGGAACCTCGGCCGCACAGGGCTTTCGCGGCCCACCGTGGCCCACGTCTGCTTTGGAGAGGTCTGCTGTGGGCCTCCCTGGCTTCTCTATGGAAATGGAAGGCTAGAATGGCTAGAACCACAAGAACCGCAGAACATGTACAGTAATCCTGCGTATCGACATCAGAATTCATCAATCTTTTCTCCACCATCGACATCGTCCCACCAGGTTTGTCATGGTAATCAATGCCATCTCCATGAATTCTGCCTCCAGCAGCACTGATGTCAACCCGCTGTTCCCTGGAAAGAACATCTGCAGGAAAAAGTATCAAACAAAGCTTGCGTCGAAGAAAAACATCCCGAAAACCCGCCGTGAGCTGAGGAGGGTCTCTTTTTTCCCTGCCAGGCGGCCCCAAATACGCTGCAGGAGCTGGGAGGCCCAAGAGCTGCTGCGCGCAAAGAAGATGCCGGTGTTGAGCATGGCATTGTCCTCGCTGACGATCATGTGGACCTATCCACATCACCAAATCAGTGGAACAGTTCCTGCTTGTGGAAGAGATGAAAAAAGTAAGCTGTTGTATGTATACAAAAAACATCAAAAAACCGAGGAAGCACGAAGCACCCAGTGAAAAGCACTCTGGATCAAGGTTCAACGGTGCAAACGAAAAACAAAAGTGGGTTGGTTTGGTGAAAGGCATTCTGCAGTGATGAGACATATTGGCGAATCTTGGTGGCAGTTCACATACGCAAGCGTCTGCCTCCGTCTCTTTTGAGGGGTTGCACAACCAAACAGCATCCCCTCAAGTAAGCACAAAACGCATAACACAATGTCAGGAATGCCCAAACTGAACGATATCGGATTCGCCTCAGGATCCAGCGTCAACTGCTCACCTCAGTTGGAAACTGAAAGGCATAACTTGCCATGCTCGCAAATGTGCTGGCAAGATAAGGTTCGAAAGCGTTCATTACGTTCATGGGAAGAAAATCTTGAGAAAAGGCAACCGGTGAAAGCCGTGCTTCAAAGCCCAGTCACCATCTGCCACACCAGCATAGGTGAAAAGGACACTGTCCAAGGTCGTACTGGGCAGCGATTATAGACACAAAGAAGGTGTGTCATGAACTATGAACCGGTGCATTGAAAGCTGGCTCGCCAGAGGCTCGCTGGAGATTGGGATGCAACTGATGTAAATGCTCAAACAATGTCTGACCCCAAGAAATGATCCATTTCTCACGACCGCCGCTTAAAAAGAATAAAAGGCCCAGATCCTGCCGTTCAATCGGTCCCGTGAGCCTCATGTTCATGAAATACGTATCGCAGTCCGCCCAAACGACCTCGCCACAATCGAAATCCGAGCGACTTTATTCAGCGACTCCCCCTCTCCTCTTCATCCCACCAATTGGTCCCTTGATGCAGACCTGCAGACCTGAAAATGAATGCAAATTGGGGTTCGTGATGGTCTGGCACGGTGGCCTTAGATGGAGTCACCCAGATCTCGCATGAACATCCCCAAAGGCTTGACGGCCCTGGAGTCCCGGCCCAGTCCCACTGGCCGGACCGCGTCTCGCGCTCCATCAACCTGGCGATGGACCATCGGTAGTTGAGATACGACTTGCAATTCTAGGATGTTTAAGCGGTTTAAGTATAATGTGCATCATGACCCACAGCTGAAACATGGTGAAACCCTTGAAAGGCGAGGTCTGCGCGTTTCGGTGAATGCCCAGCTTGCCCATTGAGCGCAGCAGCAAACGGGCCAGAATCGCTTGATCTTTCCCCAGGCAGGCGGCCTGGTGGAACACCACATCGTTCACATGTGTGTATGTATATATATATATATGTATATACATATTCACACCATCAAAACATGGCACTGCAGAACGCGTCCAAGCCCCTGTCATTGGCTCGTGTATGTGGACATCTTTGTTTTGTCAACCTGCAGAACTCCTTGGTTCTTTCGTCCGGGAAGGAATGCCCTCTGAAAGATCCATCAAGAACTTTCGCGTGCCTTCTGGAATCCACACGCTCCTTCTCCAGGATATACCTCTGCAGTTAATGACACTGACTCAACTTCCTCTGACATCTTGACATCTTTTGCACCGAATGATCTTCTCTGCACAATTGGCGCCGCCATTGGGACTGTTAAACTTTCGTTCTTTGCGAAAGCATCCAGCTTCCAAGTCTCTGACTTGGAATGATTTCACACTTCTGTACAATGTTCCTGCTCTGGTTTCCATCCAAACGCATCCCACAAAGGCCTAAGATCCATCCCAGCTCAGCTTCCTTCAACTGTACCGTCGGTCATGGCTGGCTCAGCGCCGCCAGGTCTGCGCGGGTGAAGTCCTGCAGCTCACCGTTCGGAAGCCTCACCTGGACAACTGGAAACGGCCTAAAAACGGACCGCAAAGAACGGTGGTCCAAACCACCGCCACCCTATGAATCCCTCTGCTTTCGGCCCTAGAAAGCTGCAGCTTCGTCCTGTGGTTTTGTGCATGCTGACAACAACTTAAGACATCTTTTTGGGCGACTGTCGCGCAACCAGGCATCCAGCTTCGGAACCCAGCTTCAGAGCGTGTTCAGCACTTCGGAACCTCGGGCAAACCGCAGAGTGTTGCAGGAATTCAGGGGGCAAGACAGAAGGCCCAACTTTCAGCCAAGCATCTGTTTCCAACGCTGTTCAAATAGACGAACACATCTGTGCCATACCTGCCCAGCATCTAGCAGCGTTTCGTGGCATCACCAAATAGATTCCAATGAACCAGGTGAACATGACTCCCCCACTTACGCAAAAATGCTCCCCAGATTCGGATCCATCCTCGCAATTCAGCCTTGGTGGCGAGGTAAGTTCGTGCCTGGCCTCGGCATGGTCTGGAGCTTCATCCGACCACCCAGGTATTCGGCATACAACTTGCTCAAGGGCAAGCCACAGCCCAGACCCGCCAAGGGCGACCTGCGAGGGTGCGAGGGTGACCTGAAATGAGACGAACTCTTCTGTCAAGCAAAAGGGAGGTTCTAGATTGTTCAATTCCCTCCCTCAAACATACATGGAAACCATTGGAAACCCAAAGTGCTTACCCCCAGCCAAATACATCAGCTGAATTGAATTTGCCCCATGAAGGAACATCCAGGAGGAACAAACGCTCCTGTCCTGTTCAAGTTCTATTCTACATTTTTGTTGCTGGTCTTGCGCCACCTCAAAAGGATCCGATGTTCCTCAGAGGTCTCATCGATGAGCGAGAGGCCTGGAACGCATGACTCACGCGATACGGACAGGACAGAGTCGGACAGGGACCCAAAAAACAGAGACCCAAACTGCTCTATCATAGTTCAGGTGCACAAAGCATGTTCAGGGTGTCTCACAAAGACTCCGGCAAGCCCCAATATTTTCGTCTGAAAATGTTGTGCCTTTTCCGAATCCTTCCTGTGAAACAAACTATCTGGGCATCAGTCTTTCCTCGATCCCAGATCCGTTCCTGCTCTTTTGCCAAGCGACTGGTTCTGGGCTCGATGGACATCTCCAACCGTTGGAGCTCCGTGGGTGCGTCCACGCCCTCCCTGGCCACAGCCGCAAGCAAAAACGACCGAGGGACCGAGGACTATACCCTCTTCACAGGTGTGTCCTGTGCAAATCACATACACTTCATACACCTGGCGACCTTGTCATTTTCAATACTTGTTCAAACCTGGGAGACTGGGGACCTGGAACGACTTGGAGTCGAATCACCCTTCGACCATCCTCTTGTTAGCATATAGAAGTTCGGCCTCTTTTCGTGTCTCAAACCACAAGTGTTCCACACTCTCTGTCAAAAATTGGCCTGGTGACTGGAATGTCCATGGGCTGCGCTGTGGTGTAGAGATAGGACCATACGTGCGTCAAGGAGTCGGTGGGGATGCCACCTGACGGCGGCAGAACTGATGCTCATGTGCCAGCATTGCTTCCATTGTTGTCTTAAAATCCGCGCACCCTTGCGCCTCCTTCGTCGGATACGCGCACGCTGGTGATGCCCTTTCCTGTACACACCTGCATGGCTTGAGACCCTGAAAATTAGCAGGACCTTTCCAAGCTGAGATTGATTCAAAAGGGACTCTCACAAAGAAACAGGCGACACACTGAAATTGCCACACTTCTCAACAAGACCCGCTGGAAACACCTGAGAAGGGAGGGGAGGGGACGAAAGCCGGCCGTCGTAAGAAGATATCAATGCGGTCAACGGGGGTGAACGCGAGAGCGCGGGGGAAGTGCTGGGAGGCATAAGGCGGGGCCGATATGACAGGCCTTCAGTCACAGGTGGGGGGGTGGGGGGCCTATTTTTTGGACGAAGGGGCGTTTGGAAGAGAAACAAGGGCACCCCGAAGTCATTGCTTGTCTGCGGTTTGCTTCTCGTGTTTTGTGGATGGACTCATAAACCTGGTGCGCTCTTAAGAGTGGGTCGTATTGTTATGGGGGGAAGTCGACACGGCGGTGATGTCTACTGCTGTTGGAAATAGAAAGCAGGAATACAGGTTTGGGGGGGCGCTTTGTCCTTTGACTTAAGTCCGATGTTACAGCCAAGATCAAGTGAGTGTCTCAATGGGGTAGGTGCCCTTTTTCCTTTGACTTAAGGGTGCTTTGAGGCTGACAAAAGGCACCTGGAAGGAATCGATGGGCTTGCACGCTGTTCGTTATCCTTGCTTTGTAGATGGTGGTCCGACGTTACAGCCAAGATCAAGTGAGAGCATTGTAATGGGGTGAGGTCGGCACGGTAGCCACGCCAGCGGGTGGTAGAAACCAGAAGGCAGAATACATAATACGGGGGGGTGCCCTTTTTTTTCGTGGTTCCAGGGCGTTGTCAAGCTGAAAAAGGACACCCCGAATGAACTCTTGTAGACGGAGTCATGGCGTGCCACCAAGAGCGGATCGGGGGAAGTCTACTGCGAAGATCATGGATTGCATAACATCAAGGACAGATTGCTGTGGAGAGGTGGCTTTCACAATTATAAACATATATATACATTATAGACATATGTATATATATATATCACATCATACATAAACTCCTTCCCCGAATAGACAATCTTGCTTGCGAAGCGGAAACTTGCGCCCCGTTTAAGGGATTACGTCCACATGGATCCACAGAGCTCTGACACGTCCTCCCTGGCTACGCCTATCCTCCACATGAACTCCCACCCCGTATGCGGTTCCCTTTTGCGTATGGTTAACAGGCGTCTTCACCATAAAAAGGGCACTACCACGCACCTCAAAGCTTGCCCACTACATTCTGTTCCCGCATCATTTCTGGCAATCCCTCTTTTCCACCACGTCCTCCTCCGCTGCGCCTGTCTTCCACATGAACTCCCACCCCATATGGCCCACCTCATATGGGGTGCCTTGTTGCGTCTGGCTTCTATGCCTCTTCACCATTAAAAAAGGGCACCCCCAAGCAACTCAAAGCTGGCCCAGCGTTGAGAGACGCACACCTCCCTTTCACCCTGGTCAAATACTATTTAAGTAGCCTCCAGAGACGCACATCTCCCATTCCTGGAGGAGTTCCCTTTCCTATCGTCGACATGAACTCCCACCCCTGGTAGAAGACTCTTCATGATGCTAATGATGCACTCTTCGCCGTCAATTACATCTCTTGCATCACCACACCCCAAAAACCATGCATGTTCTGACGCACCCAAGCTGACGCACTTTTTGTTGCTCTCCCTCACCAGGCTCTGGGTTTGCCCTCCCAGATTGGCCTCTGTGCGACCACCCCCCCACACCCCCTAATACTCACTTCGTTTGCCCATCGACAACTCCAGCCTAGCCTATCGGCTGGCTTTCGTAAAAAACATATATATATATATAAATATTGATGTATTTATTTATACATGTATAACTCATATATATCTATATCTATATATATATATATAGTTGTTCTACTTGTTTATATAATATTTGTTTGAAAAACAGTCGGCAAGTGAGCTACAGCACACTAATGATGGTGACGCGCATGCTTCATAAACAGCACTGGGCTGATTGCTCCTTGGAGCACGGGGCCTATTGTTCTTGGCATGTAACGTAGCAGTTGTCAGCAGCCCTTTCGCGCAATGAGGATCGGCATTGGCTGCAAAGCACAAGCGCAAACATAGAGCTACGGAGCCCTCACGGGGGAGTCGCAGTGCCTGGAACATCCCTACATCCTAACATCCACCTGGATATGTTGGCAGACACACGCATACTTAGGCACAAACATATAAGGAATAGAGTGTCTTGACAAAATAGCTGGCTTATTGTTATTGCAAATCTGTGGGTTAAATTTACCCCCCGCTTTTGTATGCATTGCGTCCGAAATAGGGGTAAGCATTTCTGACATCACAAGGACTGTAAATGCACCAGGCCCTCCGTAGTGCAGGATAAGTCTTCAAACAAGGTATAAGGAACAGAGTGTCTTGATGAAATAGCTGGTTTATTGTTATAGCGAATCTGGTGGGTAAATTTACCACCCGCTTTTGTACGCATTGGGTCGGAAATAGGGAAAACATTTCTGGCATCACAAGGACTGTAAATGCACTAGGGCGTCCGTAGTGCAGGATAAGTCCTCGAAAAACGGTATAAGGAATATAGTCTCTTGATGAAATAGCTGGCTTATTGCTATGGCAATCTGGAGGGTAAAATTTTCCTCCCGCTTTTGTACGCATTGGGACAAAAATAAGGGTAAACATTTGTGTATCTATAATGTTAGAGAAAGAGGGTGCTTTAGCCAAAGGAGACAGACTTCAGTTTTTGCGTCGACTTTGACTCCAGTAGAACAGCTGTCCAATTGTACAAGTAAGGATCAGCTACTACCAATACTACTTCTACTGCGACGACTACTCCACACCAGCCACTCAACCACTCAGCCGCTCAGGCTTTTCTTCCTGTCAGCCACTCAGGCTTTTCTCCCTGTCAGCCTCTCAGCCACTCAGACATTTCTTAATGTCAGCCACTCAGGTTTTTCGTCCAGTCAGCCACTCAGCCACTCAGACATTTCTTCCTGTCAACCACTGCCACTCAACCACTCAGGATGTTGTTCTGTCAGCCACTCAGCCACTCAGGCTTTCTCCGTGTCAGCCACTCAGCCACTCAGGATCTTGAGTGGCTGAGTGGCTGACAGGAAGAAAATCCGCATTTCCACGTACAATCTATTTTTTTTATCTATATATATATATACCCACCCGTCCAGCACTCGGGTGCGTGCCCTAAGTCACTTGTCCCGCACTCATCCACTCGGGCGCCGCACCACTAAGGTCACCGGCCCCATGGAGTCGCTGGAATGTTCCACGGTGGCCCGCACGGAGTTCTTCAGCAGCTCGGAGAGGATGTAGAACATGTACCGTGGCACGAAGGTGAAGGGCACCTGAACAGACTCCCAAGATCAAAGCACTCCAGCAAAATGCAGCGCACCAGCACCACCAGATCCAAGTGTGGAAATTCTAGGGTACATATTATGGGGCACTTGAGTTTCAGAGGTCTGATGAAGGAAACTGTGGAATTGGACCTCAAGAGCTACAGACCAAAAGACCTTCGTCAGAGACCGTATCCAAAGCTATAGGCCACGGACCACTATCAGAAGAACTTTGACTGCAAGGGTTTCAAGCTGCAAGTACCACAAAGAAGAGAAACTCTTGGAAGTCTGCAGCTTTGGTGAGGCTGTAGGTCAAAACTCGTCTATATACAGCATCTGGCGAACACCAAACCCTTGGTTTTCCTTGCAAATGCTTTTGAACAGAAAAACAAGTGTGCCAAGCCACAGCCCCTGCATCCGTGACAATGATCTTTGGAGCGCGTCCGTACCATTGTTCACAGAGTTTCCTCGTCGGCATGTCACCAGCAACGATGCATTCAGCGTAAAGAACCAAAAACATCCAGAAAGCCCGAAGTGCATTCTGTTCTGACTCAGTGTGCATGCGTTGTCATGCTGTACAGTTGTCTGTCACATGGAAGATCTGTAGAACATCACACACCGCGTAAGCCCGCGCACTGTCCAACACCGGTCCAACCACCCACCACCTCCTTTGTCTCATCCGCCTTCCGCATTGGTTCATGGGTGCGGAACATTCGGCCAAGCTGCTGGATCACATCTGCAGCATGCTGTGCAATCTTCAGTGGGTCGCCTGCAGCGCTGCATGTTCCCGTCACCCCGCTGGAGCCCTTTGGTTTTTGGTTGTTCGCCCGTTGCTGCAGCACCGGCAGAATCCACCGGCCAAGCCCGGTGTTCTTTTTCCCAGAGCCAACAATCCTCTTCATGTTCCTCCAAGCGTCATTGAGTGCTGATGAAGCTCTGGTATGAATCCAGCTTCGCAGCTGCTTCGGCCTCGCCTTATCTCAAGCATTCTCCAAACAAACAGCTTGCAGGAAGGCAAATAGCTTTGCCTGCCAAAGTACCTACAGTTCCCAACACCTGCCTCGGTGTCCAAGCAAGATAGGTTAGAGTTTCACACATAACTCCAACTCTTGCAGCAAATACCCCCAAAAAAATGTTGACATTGGCCAGTCTCTTTGCAGGGTGCTTGATGTGCTTCCTTCAAATGAACTCCCGGAAAGAGTGCCCTGAATTTGCCTAAACCAAACTGTACATTCCGCAAACAATCATTGGTACACCAGAGCTGCAGAAACATTCTGACAATGTCTTCTGGCATCATCGACCGGCATCCTCCTCAACTGACTGTGACCTACCAGTACCCACTTCCCTCACCAAAAAGAGAGAACCAGCAGTTTCAGCGCCACAGCGTCTTCCCAAGGACTCATCCTCTGCCATCTCCAGGAACTGTGAAATCAGCAGATTAGTGGAGATGCGCAGCTTGAAGAACTCGTCGAGCCTGCTAAGTGAATCAAGCTCACACTCACAGGAGCCCACGAAGTGCGCTGACACGTATTGGGAGAGCAGGAGTTCCTAGTACTACTAGGAGCAAGGACGCTACTAGGGGCTCCTGGCATCGCTACTAGGAACAAGAAGCTAGTAGGGGCTCCTGGCCTTACTACTAGGAGCAAGGACGCTACTAGTAGCTTCTTGTTCCTAGTAGCGATGCCAGGAGGCCCTAGTAGCGTCCTTGCTCCTAGTAGTAAGGCCAGGAGCCCCTAGAGCGTCCTTGAACTGGGGCAGTCCTGTAGCCCAAAGAAGCAAGTCGTCCTCCTACCTCTGCAGCCTCCTTCCTCTCCCTAAAGTGTTACAAAAGCAACATGAATCTGTTGCATCCAAAGACTGCCAAAGACCTATGAGAAAGTGGTGGAGATTGAAAATAACATGTCAAAAAAAGAAATCAACAAAGTTTTTCGGGGGTCAACCTTCCAATCCCTGGAAGATGCTGGCTGGGCACCAGTCGTTGATCTGCTGCTCCGAGAGGTCTTTCTGGTGCAGGTACTCCTCCAAAGCTCCGACCGAGTTTGAGCTCTTCAGCGTCAACGCAACCCCTTCAGCTTCATTTGAGGTCAAAGTAGTGGTGGTTTCAGGAGTGGTGGCCGCTGTGAGGGAAGGGAACATGTTCCTGCACCGGACTCCGCAACAGTGAGGACTCAAGTGTCTGGGTTTCTCCACAAAGCGCAAGCTCCCCCAAGCACACCAACCATACCAACACCTTTTGAACCTTCACAAAAGGCACCTCAGCTGCCCCCCTTCACGCTTGACCCAACCTATATACCCACCACTATTCCACCACATCCCACCACACCCGAACATCTCCTTGAAGCCTTGCACCAGCAGGTTGGTTCGGCAATGGCGGCGCTTGATCTTTGCAAGGCATAGCCTGTCGACTCAGCCCGAGCGACTCAGCCGATGTCGTCCGGACGGGCCGTCGACGGCCGTCGGCACACCGATGCATCGGCCTGAGTTCAAACTCGCTCAGGTGATCAACCATCCGAAGCTCCTCTGCACAGCATTTTCTTTTTTGTAGCCCGTGGCTACTTAATTAAGCAGGTGCCTACTTAATTGAGTAAGGGCAAGCCGCTACTACCTGCTGGACAAAGGATAGCTCATGCTATTCACTTGGTTCCTAGATTGCTTGAAAAGAAATATATATATATATAATATATATATATATTCGATGAAACTCAATCAACTGACATCAGCTGCTGCTACCTTTTCTCCGAATCTATTTAGGTCTGTACTGTCTGTACTTGAGTGCTTTGGTTTGAAAGGCGACCCACGTCGCATGTGTCATCTGACATCTGACACTCTCCCTGTGGGAGCACTCCATCCGTGTAATGCGACTGAGAGGATACCGCAGGGGCGGTCCTACGGCCACTACGGATGACAGCTCTAGGCAGAGCTCTGAAATAAAGGATTAAACTCAAACTGAATCCAGCCATCCTCAATACCTAGGACTGTCTGGGTAGGTAGTATGGCTGGGCGGCGGTCAGCCGAAGGAAAGCAGACTGGACGGCAGCGGCAGACAGCACAAGTCACAGTCGGGCGGTCAGCCAGGTTGGGACGCCCAGCCCAACAAGCGCAGTCCCTTCAACGCGAGAAACAAAGATCATGGAATGGCCGTCAAGCCGTCAGCACAGGCCCTTAGTGGTCAGACCGATGCCAGTTAACAGAAGACTCCACAGGCGCCGTGCCGAGCCAGTCGCCCGCTAGTCCAGCGCCAGGGGGACATGGAAGCAGCAACCAAAAAGGGTGTGGCAGGGTGGGAGAAAAATCTAACCTGAGGTACCAGCAGTGACCCTGCTCCTCAGGGGAGTCTCCCCAGTTTGGCTTGAGCGTTCAAACATCGGGGAGACGTTGACTTGATGCTTCCCAAATAATTCCTCATCACCGACCCTGCCTACCTTGAATGATTGAATATATATATATATATATATATTCGATGAAACTCAATCAACTGACATCATCAGCTGCTGCTACCTTTTCTCCGAATCGATTTAGGTCTGTACTGTCTGTACTTGAGTGCTTTGGTTTGAAAAGCGACCCACGTCGCATGTGTCATCTGACATCTGACACTCTCCCTGTGGGAGCGTTCCATCCAAGGCACGTAACGCATCCAAAGCACTTAAATGTACTGAAAGACCTGAGCGATGATGTGTCTGCTGATGCCGTCAGACCAGTTATCCTTACTCTGAACCCATTCAAAGTAACAAGCACTACGGAGTGCAAAGAGCAAACCATGTATAGCTCCAGCCATGGAATCCAACTCCTCATTGTTGCCCCGGCCCCGAATGAGGGACATAAGGGCTGCAATGTTGTCGACGAACCAAATACCATGCATCCCTCTAGTAGACGAAGCATTGTATGCCAGCCCCATGTAAACTGTCAACAACTCCAGTTGCGCAATTTTGGCTTCATGGTGTGACCAAACGTCAAAGATTTCAGGACGAATATGGACAACATAGGCTCGACGATGGCCTTGAGGATCGATGAACAAGACCCCAGCAGAGCCCTCCCGTGGCAGATCTTGCGCAGCATCCGAAGCTGCCAAGTACCGGCGCTGCCGCACTGGGCTGGGGGGGAGTTCACGCTCAGGCTTCATTCGAACGGATACGGTTGAAAGACTGGTAGAGCTCATCAGTCATCTGGACCTGAGAAGAGTACTGGCGCTCCTTGATGCATGGAGTCCTGATCGTCCAAGTTTGCCGAAGCAACCTGTAGTCAAGAAAGTGAGGCGCCCAAAGAGTTTCGCTGCAAGCCCGGTGGGAGTCGATGAGTTTGGGCAGCCTCATCCATGATATCGGTGACCTTAGTGACCAACCGGTCACGGGCCCAAAATTTAACTGGGGCACCTTGGTGGCATCCGGCCACATCGTGAATCAAGCCCAAAAAGTCGGATTGGGCAGCCAGGGTTCTCTGCTTGGAAAGGTGAACCCAAGCAGGTTGCCAGCTCGTTGACAAAAGCTTGGCCAGTGCCTCCCATGATACCAAAGTCCTGGATGGTCAGGTCGTCAAAGTACATACTGGTCATGCAGTAGGCCAAGCGGCGACAGGCTGCCTGAAAGAATCGAGGGAAGCGGTTGAACGAGCACACAGCATTGGGGAGCCCGAACAGTGAACCATAGTAGCGTCGAAAACGGGGGGCTCCAACATGGTGGTCATAGTATGCCACGATGGCCACGTTGCTGTGGTCAGGCCGCATTGGAACGTGTCGGTAGGCGTTGGGCAGGTCTTCACCACCCGACCAAATGCCGGCTTGAAGAAGTCCTTCTTTGTGCGTGGATGAGGACGCGGCTTGCCAGAGAAGCTGAACAGGTAGCCCAGGTTGAATACTTGCGCAAAGGCCAAGCTTATTTGCATCAGAGCTGAGGGCACTCTGGCCGCCATCAGCGGCATCGTCAATCACCCGAAGCTTGCCGGAGGGCTGCCTGATACAAAATCGCCGGATCAATCGGAACTTGGGAAACTCCTGGCAAAGTTGGGCCCATGTCAAAGGGGGACCACAGAAACCTTTCACCTGGTCTTCTTCCCCCGCTTGGGCAATAGCCTCGTCATGCTCACTGGGACGAAGGCTGCGCATAATGCGAGCAGCATCGTGCTGGGCGTCCTCGTAGATGGACTTGGCACTTACATAGTGGGCAGGCTGCGCCTTGTAGATGGGGACGTGAGGGGAAAAGCCCACAGCTGAGAAACCATAAATCAAACTTGCAATAAACGTTGTATCTGGCCAGCCAATGAAAAGCATGAGCAAACCGATGAGTGCGATGTGGCGCCCATGCGTAGTTGAGCGGATGCCAGGAGCTTGGTAGGACTGTAGGTGGTGAGTGACAGGCCACATCCGGCGGCTCAGCTCCTGAAGCCAGCGCCCAGCGCGCCGCCGCGCATCCCGAAGTTTAACCCCTTGGGCGGTGTACCCCGCCGCTGCAAAGATCAGGTCATCATCCACAACACCCATAGCTTCAAATGAGGTGGGCCGCTGCTGGAGTTCGAGGGCAAGCTCGAAGTGCCTGTCTTCCCCTACACCGAAGGGAATCATAGGAGGCAAGGCCTTCGCGGCAGCAGCCGCACCGGACTGCTGAAGGCCGCTCATGGCAATAGCGGTGCGCTCCAACGGGCCCACCAACCGTGGACCGAAGGAATGGCCGTCCCAGTCAGGGCGGTTCTGCATGTAGTTGAGCCATTAAAAAGGTGAGTCATCAACAAGGAGGTCCTCGATCATGGGCCATTTGAAACCATCCCAATTGACCTCCGGGCAGGGCCATGAGGCTCGCGGCAACAATATCTCCTGGGAGAAACGAAGCGGTACAACCCGGGCAGGGCGAATGCCAGCTGCGACCAGCGAGACACGCCGGAGGTGCTCTCGTGGCCGTGGGCGACGTCGTCTAGTGGAAGAAGTCGTAGGCGATGTAGACCAGACCAATGCTCGAAGGATGTCACCATGACATAGGACATTGTGGGGGCAGTCACACACAAGGTTCTTGAAATGAAGCGACTGCAGGTCGGCCAACAGGTGGTCTTGGTCTGCAATCCATCGTGCATAGTGAAGGACACTTTCCAAGGTAGTACGGCCCTCCCCCGCCTTGAAGGGATTTCGCCGCTGGGTCAGCGCCCATCTGTGAGAAAAGCGGCCAGGGCCGATGTAGACGTCCTCCTCGTGGAGCTGCGGCGATTCTGAAAGACTTCCAACGCGACCGAGCGCGTGGGGACATGGGATATATTTTTAAACAGAGACCCAGATGGAAGCCCATGAACGTCATCAGGTCTTCTCGCAACTCGGAGGGCTCGAAGTGGAGTAACGGCCGAACATCACCCGAGGTGGCGATAGGCGGTAGCCGAGGAACTGCCAGGATCCCATATAACCATGTCGTACCGCCCATGCCGCGCAGCGGCCAGTGTGAAGACCAAACTCGGTGTATACTCGGCCTCATTGAACGTGGAGAATTGGCCAACCTGAGACGATCGCCACTCGTTGGGGTCATGAATGTGTCCACACCTGACAGCAGGCAAGGATGCAAGTTCAGGCACATTGCGACGAAACTTTTTGTGGTTTGCGTCGACCCCTCCGAAGACACATGCATCGTAATCTAAATCGAACCATTCGCCCTCGTGGTAGGCGAACTGCTCAATAGGATCCCACCAGTGCAAAGACCTCAACGCGTTCTCACGAAGGCAGGCGAGGTTGTGCTGAGCACCCCAATGTTGCAAGGCCAACAGGAAGTCACTAGAAAAGTTGTCAGCATCCTGGTTCATGGGGTCCAACCCCGCAAGGCCCTGGGGATGTCAACAACCGCAGGGGGGGAGGACCAGGGCGCTTCTCACGGGCCCGAGACTTAGTATAATATAGCCCCTGCAATGGTGGCAACTTTCGGAAGGACCTCCCGAATAGCCCGGACGCGACACGTCCAAGTCCTGGTTGGGTGGCCATCCTCTGGAGACGAAAATAGTACTGGGCCAACTCATCACAGGTATTGTGGACCAACGTAGCACAGGGAGCATAGTACCAGGCTTGGGGACAGGCGGCTTCCAACGTAGGCTCCGGGCGCGATGCTTCAATGGGAGCTCCTGATCTCGTCCCACCATTCGATCCAAGACTCACAGAGGTTGCGGGCAGCCCTCAACTGAACTTGCGCAACCCCTAGACAAGGTGGCCACTGCGAAAAGGGCACTCAGGGGCCTGGTCCAACTGATCCCCCACCTCCCAGGCAAGGGCCCGCCTGGCCGCGCCATCCAAAGGCGCCAACGTCGTGGCAACGAACTGGATAGCCTGGGGCCGGTCCATGGTCGAGCTGGAAGGCGGTGAGGGGTACTTGGAGGTCGAGCTTCACGAGAGACTGCGGTGATACATCGGACCTAAAGAACAAGTACGGATTGGTTGAACTGCATGGGAACCTGACCCTCCTGGCGGCCCGCCAAGTCGTCCCTGGAAAATAATCAAACTGTGGAAAAATACCCTGCACACAGAGATGACCTCTCAGCCTCGACAGTAGGCGTGCCGGTTTT